GGGGTCACGTCTGTTTTTGAAATAGCGTTCGTTACGCTGCTTCCATGGACGAGCTTTCCAGATTAATAAAGTTCACTATCAACTGATTTTGACATCTGCTCAAATGAGTCTCTCTCTTGCCCTTTTTTACTCCCAGTGAAGCACAGGCCATCAACAACTTTACTCCAGCGAAGCCTGTCCTGAGCATCCTTTTCTAGCTGTTTCCATGATGCCCACGCTTTTTCAATTTCCACTTGTGCACAAATGAGTAGTTACGTATTCACGCTCCTTTCAACACTTCAAAACTTTAAAACTATTGAAGTGACACTCGAACCTAACGTCCATCTTTGATAGGACACGGACGTGCGTGTGTGTGTGACAAAAGCCTTGAAAGTTCCTTAAATCCAAGTTCGTGTAATCCCCATCAAGGTTCCGAACCAGAGGCACTTGCATCATAGCCCGGCCCGCTACCAACTGAGCTCACAGCACTCCGACTAAGAAATCGTTACCTCAGAATTACAAAATTATATTGGACATTTTATGGCCGTTTTGAGTTACCAAGACCATGAGGTCAGAAACTAAATGTTATATCTGCTCTATCAAAATCGTAAGATTATTCGGAATCGTTATCAAGATATTCAAATAATTGCATTCGAAAAAGCTTGACATGTTGTGAAACTCAAAAGGTTAGACGTCAAATTTCTCAAACCTATGTTCTGAGCAGATAGAACTTTGTAGTTCTGAGAAACGAAATACTGGGTATGAGTGAGAAATATCTCAATAACAACCAAAAGGAAAGTTCCGAAAGACCATTTGTGGTCGTGAATGCTGGACAATCACTAAAGACAGGGAAAATAAAATAGGAGCAACAGAAATGTGGTTGAATGTGGCCCTGAACATTTAGCTTTTACTGGCAAAAATTGAAGGTAAATGAGGCATAGGCAGGTAGACCCAGAGCAACCTACCTGGAGAGCTTACAGTCTACAGCATACAGTCGGACGACGGGGAAAGATCAGGACATTGTAATGTTTTCTTTGTTTAAAAAACATTACACCCCCGTCAAAGGAATAAATTGAGAACCATGGTCGCTGAATATGTCGCAAATCTGACACTCGGTAATGATAGCTGGGTAAACGGATGGGTTGTCTAGTTAATCAGCGTATTTTTGCCTCAGCGCACTACTGAGCTTATATCTAGAAAACTGGTAGGAATTTTTAAAAATGTTTATTTCATCCGAGTCAGCTACAGCAGCGCCTATGGTGTATTCATCACGGGCTAAGCTCTGTACGTAAAAGATTGCGGTTCGATTCCTGTGTGTAAAACTTCATGTCGTTCTGAATGTCGCCACTGTCAGGCAACATCGGTGGAGAAGTATTGGTTCTAAGTGAGAGCTAGGGAGAGAGGAAGGGAGAGAGAGAGAGAGAGAGAGAGAGAGAGAGAGAGAGAGAGAGAGAGAGAG